AGTTTTTTGAAGACCTGCAAAAACGCGGTGTAATCGCCAATCAGGCTAATCTAGAAAATTTTTACCAGTTAGAACCACAGCAAAAAGTTATTTATTTGGGAATAGATTGCACCAGCGAAAAATTACATATCGGACATTTATTTCAACTTATTCAAACTATCCGTTTTGCCAAAGCGGGTTTTACAGTATTGTTAGTGCTTGGTGGAGCAACCAGTAAAATCGGCGACCCGAGCGACAAAAACGAGGAACGACCTTTATTGGCTACCACTGATATTGAAAATTATTTGAAAAAAATTAAATCTCAACTAGAAAGAGTATTAATTAAAACCCGAAAAATAGCGGAAGTGGATTTCGGTCCTTTGGAGCAATTTTACTCAGAGGATACTGAATTACTAAAAAATATTTACCAAATACTAAAAATAAATAAAGCGGAGAAAAAAGAAAAGCAGTGGGAAAGTTATTTAAGATATATTTGACCTTTTCAACCTAGAAACTTTTTCGGTCCCGAAACAAAAGAGACGGCTAGATTTAAAATTTTAAATAATAAAGACTGATTAGAAAAAATAAATATTACTGATTTTTTACGCCAAAGCGGAAAATATTTAACTGTGGCCTACCTTTTGGCTAAGGAAACCACCAAAAAAAGAATTAACAGCGGACTTTCTTTTTTAGAGTTTAGTTATCCGCTTATTCAGGCTTACGACTTTTACTATTTATACCAGAATTATCAGTGCCACGGGCAATTAGGGGGGGGCGACCAGTGAGGAAATTTAACTACCGGACTGAAATTAGTTAGAAATCTTTACCCTCAAAATAGAACTTTCGCTTTTAGTTTTCCGCTTTTGACCGATAAAGAAGGTAAAAAGTTTTCCAAAAGTGGAGGTAGTGAAAATATTTTGTGGTTAAATAGTGAAAAAAAAATTTTTTATGATTTTTTTCGCAATATGACTGACGAACAGGCCAAAATTTATATCAAGCAGTTCACTTTTTTGGAGGAAGGACAAATGGAGGAATTAACCAAGTTAAATAACCCACCTAAATTAAGGATATTTCAAAGGATTTTATATGAATTAGTATGATTTCTTAACTTTGGAGAAATAGAGTCTTTATTTGCTAAATAATTTAGTAAAAATACTTAAAAAACCACTCCCAAACCCCCACTGTTTTTTTTTTTTTTTTTTGTAAAATAGATTTAAAGTAAAGAAATTTGAATAATAATATAAAATAATACAATATAATATATAGTAATCATGGCACAAAAAGAAATAATTACATTTACAACTAAAATTTTTACTCTACCAGAAGATGCAAATTTTGCGTTTTCTCCATCCGACCCTGTTTCAATAGAAATAGATGAAACCGATTTTCCGACTAAAAGCGGAAAAAAGAAAGTGGAGTGGATTAATTTCCATCTAAATGATATACTAGGTAGTGATGCGATGGAGAAACGGCAAAAAATCCATAATGCTTTACAAATGCAAGGGTTAAACGTTCCAAAAAAAACTTTCACCATAGAAATTGATGGAGGAACAATTGAAGCAGAAGAAGAAAATTTAACTTTTAATTCTGCTTCGGCAACAGCAGGCAAACATACAACTTGAAAAGAACCACCACCAGCATCACCAACGCCAGTAAATAAATTAGAAGGCACTCGGTTAAATTTGAGAAATTTTGATTTATCCAGTCTTAAAGTTAAGACCAGCAATGGAGGAGGGGGTAGCGGTGGTGGCGGTCCGGAAATTCCAGGAGAAGACCCCGATATCCCCACCGCTCCCACTGCGGCAGAAATTACGGCTAGTAAAAATAAAGCCAATGCTGCTATCAGTAGTGGCGATAAAACCCAATTACAGGCTGCTAAAACTGAATTAGAAACTTTAAAAAGCCGCTTAGAAGCAGCGGGAGAGTCCGCTACTGAAATTAGCACTCTAATCCAAAGCGTAAATACTAAAATTCAAGAGTTGGAGGGAGATACTGCCTACCGGCAAAGGGTAATCAGCGAAATCACCGCCAAACTAACTGCCAATGGTATTTCTGAAACTGATTTAGATGATGCTAGCAAAACCAAACTAGCCGCTTTAAAAGCGGGCCAAACCAGCGGAGCAGAAATAAACCAAGCCGCTGATTTTATTAAGCAAGCCGCTGATACCGCAATGGTAACTAAAAAAGTAACTGAATTTACTGCCCAAGTAAACCAACTAATCCAAAGCAAAAATAAAACCGAACAGCAAAAACTAAAAACCCAACTAACTACTTTACTAACTAACACCCTTTATAAATCCCAAAAGGCTACCCTGAATTCTCTAATCACTAAGTTACAAAATAGTTTGAAAAATGACCCCACTATCCCTAGTGGCGGCACCGATTCCTCTCCTTCGGATAGTTTTTTCCGCTTGGATAATCCCGTGCTATGAGTTTCGGGTATAGCCATTTTCGGATTAATTGTGGTCGGAGTAGTTTTAATTCTCCGCAAAAGAAAATAAGAGATAAGTTGAATTTTTTCCGAAAGAAGATAGTTCACCAACCAACTAATTTTACTAAAATATAATATATAGGTTAATTGTTCTCCTAACTAACAAAAAAACAAAGTTGATATGTCTTTGAAAACTGGACAGAACCAATTTTACCTGTGAGTGAATTCTTACAGTTCAATTTTTAAGAGTTTGATCCTAGCTCAGGATTAACGTTGGTAGCATGCCTAACATATGCAAGTCGAATGTGGAAATGGAAACGTTTCTAACATGGCGAACGGGTGAGTAATACTTATCTTACCTGCCTTTTAGTGGGGGATAACTAATGAAACTTATGGGAAACCATAAGAGGTAGTTAGAATACCGCATATTCTGGTTTCGACCAGGAAAGGAAGACCTAGTCTTTCGCTAAATGATGGGGATAAGCCGTATTAGTTAGTTGGTGGGGTAATGGCCTACCAAGACAATGATGCGTAGTCAGGCTGAGAGGCTGAATGGCCACAAGGGAACTGAGACACGGTCCCTACTCCTACGGGAGGTAGCGGTGAGGAATAGAGACAATGGGGGAAACCCTGATCGCGCGATGCTACGTGAAGGAGGAAGGTCTACGGATTGTAAACTTCTTTACCAGAGGGTACTGACGCAAGAATTGCCCTTTGGCAAAAAGTCACGACTAACTACGTGCCAGCAGTCGCGGTAAGACGTAGGTGGCGAACGTTATCCGGAATTATTGGGCGTAAAGGGT